AGTTGTTGTTGACGCTAACAGCCATACTTGAGATATCATAAACCACTCTATCAAACGTATCTTATAGAAAGCAGATGTTGAAATACTTTTCTAAAATATCGACTACTGAGAGATTTTTTCATACAAAAATATATTAACTTAATTTTCTGGAATTTCAATTCTTGATCATTTATATTTCATAATATAAGTGTAGGATGTGATTTCACTAAATTGATACTCGTACGTATTATATTTTGTGTTAATCCCAATTAATCAATTATTTAGTTGTGTATTAATCAATTATTTAGTATGACTGAGAAATATCATTAGGAAAATCCTAGGATCCTATAAGTTTGCCTTGTAACTGAAAGCCTTTTAACTTGTTATGATAATGTATTTATAACATAAGCTGGTAGGATTTGTTGAATTAAAGAGCCGTCTTCGGATAATGTAGAACATAATTATGCAAGACGTAATTATACTAAAATACACAATACAAAGCGTTATTTGGACTAGTAAAATAAATTGATTTTTGATAAAGTTACAAAAAATTTACAGCAACATTGCGAGATGAAAAAAGTTGCCACTGTATTATTTATTTGACTTAAACGTTGAGAATTGTGTTGTAAGTTCCATCCAATCTGAATTTCGTTTAAAATCAGATCGTCAACGAAAAAGGCCACTTGATTTTAATTATTATTTATTTGGACTAAATTGGTTTAGCTTCGTTCCGATCCTTGTTTCGTATTCGATGGAAATTTAAGAGATATTGTACAAGAAAGTTCCAAGGTACGTTTAATTCAATATTAATTAAGAGCCCACTTGATTCCACTTGATAATTCTACCTATAAAATTGGATACATTTGTGGTTATTAAAAATCTCTAATTGTGATTTCATTCTTGTAATACAAATCATGCCATCTCATTTTGTTAAATTTCAGATTTGTCGACATATTTAATATTATTTAATGAAAATATTTTTAATACGAGTATTTTAATATAAGCGAGATGTTACCTCGTTATTTCTTCCAGTAATTTTTTCCCAGGTTTGGATTTAATGAAATAAATCAAGAATTTCTACTTTAACAAGCCTTAGAAAATATATCAGAATCTCTATAGAATATGCAATATTATATCTCTTCATTGTATATCTATTAAAGATTTACAATCGTAAAAAAATGCTCTGTAATAGTCATTAACGGACTTTTACAAATTGACAATGGTTTTCTATTTGAACCTATGACATATTGCTGACTCTGTCTTGCTAACCTGGAGTTATAAAAATATACATATACTTTTACATGACTTTATCTAATAAGCATTTAGACCTTCAGAATGACGTGACAAACATTTGTAGTGTAATGGTTTTAGCAATTATTATTATTAGTCAATCTTTTATATAAAAATTGTCTTCATCAATTGAGTGATTGTGAGTACAAATGGAGCTTACATTACAATTTAAAATATTTCGCGGAATCAGACGAATTGTCAAATAAACAGGAGAGGCTTTTTATTTTTACTATTCATAATCCGTTGGGAATTGGGATAACATTGCTTTTGCAAATAGAATTTCATATACCTCTTAAGGTTTTGAGTATTATGTTATGTTAAACTGAAAATTGTGCATACTACAGTACAATTATTGTATAAGGTATCAATAGTAGATACATTTTCAGAAAAACACACAAAAAAAAACAGGAATTTGCTATAACAAATTATGAAGGCATTCCAATGGTACTATATAATGTGTGAAATAATGATATTATATTCTTATTCGTGTCTTTATGATCGTTTTCAAGAACAAATAAACACGTTTTAATAAAAACATTGTATCATATAAATAGTACTACAGCTAATTAAACTACAAATTCTCATTACTCTTTTGTTTTTGGAAATTTCTGAAAGGTCTGTATTCTTTTTTTTTTCTCATTGGCAATAAATTAGATCATTTTCAACTTGATATTGATTTATTAAATGTAAATTATTTAACTTTATTATTTGAGTTTCCAAAAATATTAGAAAAACTATTAACTATTAAATGCACACGTCAAAAAGTTATCAGTTCATTGAAAGTTAAATAAAGTATTTCATTGAAGATTTAATACGTGTTTCGAGTTATAATAAAACATAAGAGGTTGATCAATGAAAGTCCCTGAATATTTTAATTTTGTACATATATTGTAGATAATTTAAGACAAATCATTTTAAACAAAAAATAATTACAATCAAACACTAGATATTTTGCTTTCTATAAAATAATAATTCATCAATGAGAAAAAAATAATTAGTAAGTAGCTGGATTGAACTAATTGAGTGTTATTTTATACTTCATTTGCAAAAAATAATAATTAATATTATATACCCATTTACACCTTAATAAGTATATATATTTTTTCAAAAAACCCTTTATATAAATATGAATGAGGCATTTCAGTTATTTCTCAAGAAAATATTCCAAATATTGTTGTTCATTTGAATTTAAGTTTGACTCTGAAAAAAATTATTTATAAAATTACCATTAACATTTATAAACAATGTCATCATCATCATCAGCCTATCAGAGCCCACTGCTGAGCAAAGGCCTCGAGACGGGTTTGTGATTTCAAACTTATAATTGTGAAATTATAAGTCCAGGTTACCTCACGGTGTTTTCCTTCACCGTCTGTCAGTAGCGTCTAAATGCTAAATATGAGCGAAAATGCTATAAAAAACGATGTATTCTCTAATAATGTTTTAATTGTCTCAATCCCAGACAGTGTCTCTCAAGAAAACAATAATTAGGAACATATTATTTATTTAGAATGCCTATAAGACCTATTAAGTATATTAAATTTTAATACTCTTTGGTATATTATTTATATATAAAATGCTTTCGCTACGGTAGAATTTAGTGCTTAATGCATGTCATTAGCCTTTACGAATGCCCTTTACATCAAACAAACTCATGTTTTGTCTAGCAGTAGTTAGTAATGACAATAAACTCTGAAATGTTTCTTAAATTTAGACTATTTACTTAAAAATAAACTCTTAATTTCAATGCAATTTTTTTCCTGGCGATTGTTATACATATATGATTTGTGTAAATATTTATATATTTTACAATATTTAGTACTAGCTTTCCGCCCGCAGCTTCGCCGCGTGGAGTTCGGTTATATCGCGTTTCCAAGAGAACCTTTCAAAAGTCTGGGATAAAAACTATCCTATGTTCTTTCTCAAGGTCAACTCTATCTCTGTACCGAATTTCATTAAAATCAGTTCAGTGGTTTAGGCGTGAAAGCGTAGCAGACAGACAGACAGACAGACAGACAGACAGACAGACAGAGTTACTTTCGCATTTATAATATTAGTAGGGATAGACAATAAGAAAGTGTATTCCGAAATCATGATGCTGTACTAGAACTGAGTTGTAGTGTGAAGATGGAAGACATTAAACTTATGAAGCGGTTAGAACTTCAATGGTCTAGCTAATACTATCCTTTTAATACTTATAACTATGTTGATAAATTACATTTTCATTGTAATAATAACTTAAACATAATTTATATATGCTAGGCTTTCTTTTTTATTATTGAGTTGTTTACTATCAATTTGTAAGATTTATTAGCTACGTATAATTTTCAAATTCTTTATTTACTTCTTACTAAGAAAAACGGAGTAAAACTGCAAATATTTTGACGAGATATATAACCTATCTTATACATTTAAATTAATATAACTATATAATAAAATTTTTATTCTTCTTTATATTGTTATTTTAAACTTTCTTCATATACATATGTCATAAATAAACTAATTTCTAAAATCTACACTTTTATTCGCAAGTAACACAATAATACGTTAATAAAAAACAGGTTTTAATTCGAACAATAAACCCAAATAACTATTATTAAATGTAATGTCAAAAAGCTTGATAAAAGTCAAATAAATCAAAATTGGGGGTAAAGCGTGCGGTGAGAAGGTCGACCCACATTTTTAAAGGATTCCCAAATCGAATGGTCAAAACTGATATTGAAATCTCTTTAATCCTAAGACGCGCCACAATCCCTTGAAAGATTATTATTCAGAGATAACATCTCTTTGATATTAAATGTTAAATAAATTATAATGATTCATTCAAAGTTAAATATAATGTTATAATAGAGCTATAAATGTTTTTAGATACAATTGTGAACATTGTTTTTAGAAAATGTTAATTTTTAATGTATATTTTTAAGTGTACAATCATCGTAAGGAAAATTTGAGAGGAAAATATGTCTAAAATAAAAATAAGTACTATATGTATATATTTTATATATAGATTGCTTAGAAGTAGAGTTTGTATTCATATCTAAAAGATATTATTTTCAGTAATAATCATCGTTTTAGAATTTGACGTAAGCGGCTAAAAGTTATTTTCCAATGATTATAAAAAAAACATGTTGAATGAAAACCATCATTCGACATTCAGTATTCATTTTATTTTACATAGCCTATTCTATTGTCTGCATATTAAAAGTAGCGTTCATGAAAATTAACATGACCATTCATACCTAAAATAGGGGAAGCGGCGCCGGAAAAAATAACATTGTTTGAAACGGTACAAATATTGCTTTAGTATGATCCGCAATGAATAGTCGAAGATAGCACTTCGGTTAAATCGAATTTTATAAAATAAAACTATTCGTAATCATCTCACTCACTAAAATATTTCATAGCATTATGTTTAATAATTCAACAAATTAAATTATTATTACTATCTTTAACGACGCCTCTTACCCTAAAAAAATGTTATATCTAAATGAAAACGAAGTTTACGCTACAGGATGAATTTTACTTTTCATGTGAAAATTAGTTTTCGCGGCCCTGGCTGTTGAATGTATTATAACGGTAAATTTTTGCACGTGCTCCGTATATCGGTGAAGTACAGCAAAATCATAAGAGAAACTCGATGTATTCCATCAAAATAGGTTGTTAGACGTCGTAATAACATAATTAATGAACAATACAGTCCAGTTATCCACAATTAAATGTAATTATTATAGGTTAGTGTCTTTGTTCGGTGAGTGGAGACGGCCTTATCGACTGGGCGGCGCCGGTCGCGCGCGTTCGTTCGAGCTCGGCGTCGCGACGATCGCCCACCCTCGGCAACTTTCGGCTGTGTTCGGAACTTACTACTGTAAATTTAAGGGCTGCGAAAGCTCATTGCTGAAAGACACCGCATGTTCAGATACGCAAGTTGAAGGGTATGTCAATGCAATAATTTATACGACACAAAAATGTCCATTCGATATATGATTACGGTTATATCAAATTAAAAAATGCTATAAAATATTATGAGTTTCGAAAGTGAAGTTACATTTCTGAGAAAATTATTAGTAAACAAGATTCTTTTTCGGAAAATTCTGGTTTTATGGTATTTCAAAATTGGGAATTAAATAGAATTTTCCTTGGAGCGGCAACCCTTTGCGTTTGGAGGTCCGGACACATGGCGGTAGGGTGTCGCGGGGGCGGGGAGGGTGCGGGGTAGCCGCGCGCCCGGGCCGCCCCTCCTCAGTGGCGGCCTGCAGTGCCGAACGCGCGTGTCGCCTCCGACGCTCGCGCCCCGCGCATCCAACCTGCTCATTTAGCAAGCGACGCCGCAGACGGCGGTGCCAGCCCCGCGGCCCGGCGACACTGCAGCCGGGCCGGCCCGAGCTCCTTCGATCGCGACCTCATGTGACACCTCGCCAAAATGAATGTGACCATTGTTTACGTTAGCGCCAGTTGATAACCGAGGGGCCGACGCTGGCATGCTAATGTGAGTATCCAAATCGATAGCACGAACACCGACACGGGCACGCGATCACCATAGAACATAGAGAAGCGCCATGAGACTTAGCGTTAGCAATATAACGTTACCTCTCCTGCAATGCGACAATATGAGAACGCGTACCGACGAGCTTTTCATACATAATTAAAGGCCGTGTCAGTGTAGGTTTGGGTCGGTGGCGCTCTCGTATTGTGACTTGTGACCGGTGTGCTTGTCGGCAGTCGGACTGTTGGGTGCGATACGTGGACCTCACGCGTGGAGGACGCGGCGCTGGTCGCGGGAGGGTCGCGCGCGTGTCGTGGTCGCGCGAGCTCGCGCTCACAATCTGGCGACTTGGCGCCATGCGGTAGCGCGGCGGCGCGGCCGAGCGGCGGGCGACCACTCGTACGCTCTCGGCTATGTGCCCCCTTTGCGCTACATTGTAAGTATCATATTTAATACATATTTTTAATTTAGTAGTTATTTCAGTAAAACATCAAAATCCTGCTTTATATGTATGTTGCATACATCACACGTATATACAAACTGAGTTATTTGTACGTGTATATTATTTTATTACTTACCCAACAAAATATTTGATGAAAGTAAATACACGTAGAAATTAAACTATTTTTATTCTTGACCGTTTTTCGTAACAATTCCAAAAAAGTTTATTATTAATTTAGATACATTTTATTTTGGATTAAATAATAAATAAATAGCATAACCATAATATTCTGATAGTCAATTTACCATGAATTTTGCGCCATTTTCTTGAAGGTTTTGAATTTTCTCGAACGCACAATAAATTAGCGGGCCTTAGATTTTTTCCTTACATTTTATAACATACTTGGCGTTCCCTTTAAATTTATCGTATATTTAAAAACATTATATTAAATAAATATTTCGCCCATTAAATAATGTAAAATTATTGATAACAAAATATGTAATTTATATATACATACAGATACGATATACAATTTTCTTAAAAGAGAAAATTTTTTACTATAAAAAAATTAACTTAATTAAAAAAAAACGGTTTAAATAGTTTTGATGTAATATGTCTTTTCGAAGAAGTGAAAATTTATTTTCAACCGCCACTGTCTAGTTCCAAGTACTACACGATCTTTCTTAAAGATATCATCTAATACTTGAGAACAATCACTTAACGCGGTTAAAACTACCTATAGTTGAAATTTAACGACAGTTTCATTGAGTACAAAAGCATATGCAAAAAGTAATTTATATACATACTTTAACCGAGTTGACCTATCGGCTGTTCAAAATATATTTTTACTATAAATCAATCATATAAAAATTGGCCTCAAATCCAAACTTATAAATACTTAAGAAATTGCATTAAAATTTGTGTTCTTGGAAACTACGGAGACTTTTGTATGGACTGAAATTGTGTGAACTTATTCTTGCACACCAATAAAAAAAGTTCGTAAATCTTGCATATCTAATATAAATGTATTTACAAGAGGTTTATATTTTTTTCCAATAAAATAAAATTCACACGAAAAACAAGTTATTTCAATCAGTTTTCATAATAAATAGGAATATTTATTGTAATATAATAATAGAGTAATACAAAATAAAAAAAGTCATAATATTCGTGTTGTTTCTGTGAAGTTTTAAAAAACTGCTTTTAAAATTTTGCATGGAATATAATATTTACTTAAAAAATATATCCAAAATGATTGGAATATTAAAAATTTGTTTTAATATATTTTATTACGTATGTATATCTGTTAGAGTAATGAGAACTATTAAATATTTATTTTATAGCTTAAATAACAGTTACCGGGGAGGAGCCATTCTAACATGATGGATAGCCCCTAAGGAATAAAATTCTATTCCAATACGGCTTGTACACTCTATTTTGTAATTTATCTTCGTGTCAAATTTAATCAAATCTGATTTGACCTTTTTCTTACAGCAAAATATATATAACATTTGGATAAAAAAAATATCTTATTGACAGACAAAAATGGCGAAAAGTTGATGCGGGTCACCCAAATATTATCAGAATCATATCTTTCGACCGATCATCTTATATAAAAATGATAATAACATTAGAGGCCTGTTAAGTCTCTTAATATTGTTCTGTAAACCGATTCACAATAAAGGTTAGAAATGTTCGAATACCGCATTCCGCATAGTTCAGCCAATCTGCGGACCCAATGACGCGGTTTTGAAGTACCCTCACTGGCTGGCACTACCTACTGAACTCGTTTATAAAATTTCTATAGACCTGTCAAAGTTTTACAGCCGGGTTTTTTTTATGTCATTAGTATTGAAATATTAAACTGTATTTTCTGAGCTAAGCTCCTTCATCGCGTCAATCACCGCGGTTTAGATCTGAATAGTTTAAACACTTATTTATATTGGCTAGCATAATAAAATATTTAACAGAAATTGCAACATTGTAATTATAACAAACAGGTAAAAATATATTCAAAATATATTTTATGTTATTCGTAATTTTCACTGTTGTTATATATTCACTTATATTTTATGTTTAATTTGTAATTTGTTACTTTATTTTTTATAAATGTAATGATTCTTGGCTCGTTAAAAATTAAGCCTTTGAGATTCAAAAGAGCGGATGTTTTGAGGTTAAAAAAGAAATCGACCAAAGGAACAATTAGGTAATGATCCCTTCAAGTGCGTAAGACGAAATTTTCTAAGCTCATAAGCTAAGTCAGTAAAATCTCGTCATTTGTTAATCACTGCAATCCATTGCAATCGGAGTTTCCTCTATCTTTTTTTTCTCGCGTTCTCTGTAATCTAGGCATGCATACTTTGAAAGACATTAACATTTCTCCAAAAGAGGACAGAGTAGTTTGGAAGCAATTATTGTGTGCTGTATCCCTGGATGTTTTGAAGATAGTACATGTTATTTTTAAATTGTTTTTCCTTGGTATCTACACAGAACAATAGGTGTTCTACGTAATGTTTCCCATGTTTTAACGCTGTGCTTCTCAACACTATTTTCAAAGTATCACAATAATTTTCTTGCAAAATATTTGCATGAAAATATAAAAACGAAATTAAAATTTGTTTAATCCATCCAATTACTTAATTTAGGTATCTATAACTATTCTAATAAATTAAATTATAACAACATTCCGTCATTTGAGATTATTATTTAAAAGTAATATCAAAACGTTAATTTTAAGTTTCCTAATTCGTCGAGAATTATCGATGTCAATAAATTAAATTTAACCATTTATTTAACACTTAAATTCCAATAGCTATAGAAGATTACAATTTTGTTGGAACAATTGCCGTTACACATAAATATAATATGAAATTTATAATAACCTAATAATTACAAACGGAGTAATCGTAAACTATATTAACATTCCACTATTTCATTTAAGACGAGGTCGTGATTAGTAGACGTGGGTTGGAAAGTTAGTTCATATCCAATATTTGGTCAAATGCGATGTTATTCCAAGAATATAATTAAATTTTGACCCAACATAGCAGTCGTGTGTCCATTGGCCTTATTTGAATATTTATTAAATCACCCCTTACCCAAAACCGGGCCATCGTATTATGACGATTTATTTTTACCCTCCATCCTTTTGGGTTTAGGCTTTCCGATAAGTCTTTGGTGTGAATTAATTGTATTATGTTACTGGTAAATTATTAAATTTTAATATTTTCGAGTTTACTTTTATTCACTTTTTACGACAAATGAAATCTAATTAAATTTTACATAATTTATTTTAATGAATTTAAAATAAACATACAAATAAAAAACAATGCAGAAATAGTAAACTTTTTTTATCCGTCTATAATATATTTTCTTCTAAAATATATTTCAAGCTGTAGTATCTGCAGTCATATCTCCGATAAGCTCAAATTAACACCGGAAAAGCTATTACCCCTCGAGGATACTGGGAAATAGAAGTTCCGACTCCAACCGTCTGCCGGAATTCCAGCTGTGAGCGGAAGTATCGCTCATTCAATCACTAAAGCAATTAATGCGTAATCAATTGTATTCAAACGTGATTATTTTAACCTACAAAGTTCGAGGGCTGTGATTTTAACGAGCGGTTATCAACTGTCTCTCATATTGTTATAACTCCGTACGTGCAGCCCTAGTCGAAAGCACTTTCACTTTCAATATTGTAATATTGAGAATGAGAGTGTTTTTCCACTATCCATATTATATACTATCGTATTTTATTTTTTGTTATGACACGAAGTGAACATGAATTTCGAAGAGAATTCTGGGTAACATTGTTCAATAGTTTCAGTGAAAATTTCATTCATTTTTTTTTTATTTTGTCGTATTTGGAAGAAAATTTTACACATTTCAGTAATCAGCTAGCCAAAGTTATTCTGTCCTTTAATTTCATAATATCTGGCGAATTTATGTTTACTAATTGCTACACGATTTATATACAATTTTTAGTACTTATGTATGTATATTTGCAAACATACATACATTTAAATATCGATGTTAAAAGTCAATAAAGTGGCCGGGTTGGATAAAGTCAATACTACCTTTTGCGTACTTACACTCATGGCAAGATACAAAGAGTAACCGGAGCTCCTTTTTATTACATACAATCCATGATATACCTTTTAAACATAGAAGACACTTTTCCTGTTGATTGCACAAAGAGTGGCATTGCATACTTTGCCCTCCAGTGGGTCTTATAGGAATTTGAAATTACAGACGACTTTATGTTGATAATTCGAAACTCAGTATATTCTTTCGCATTTTCAGAAAATAAATTCTTTTTATAAGATTTATGTAAAACGTTGAACTGAACGAATTATCAAACTCTTAGTGCGGTAAATATATAAAATAGGAATACGCCCCGCTCTGCTTTTTGATAAGACCTTCAATAGAGTTTTGGTAGCTAAATAGTATTTTTAACTTTTATATCTTAAAAATGGAGGAATTCTATCATGAACTCTAAGTACGCCAGCGAATATGCTTTTGCTAAGAGTAAGACTTTGCTAATACACTACATTATGTCAGAATAGAAGTTTTCAAATGTCCGAATGTTCAAATAAATACTAAATTAGTACTTTGGATATTAAATTAATGTAAATTGTGAAACCTTTTGAGGTATTCCATCAGACGCTAGTCGCCAACTCGTCACCAAGTTTTGTGTGTAAGTTTGTCTTATCAAACTCTCTCATATCAATGTTTGTACAGAGAAGTTAACTTATGAATGTATGTATATCTGCTTAAAACAGTCATGTTTGTTGTATAATATAATAGATTAAGGTAGGGGTACAACATGAAACAATTTAGCTCGATCCATTTACTCACGTCGAATAAGATGATTGATTGTCATTTCATAAAAAGTTAATATTTAATATGCTAAACCTTTATTGAATATGCTAAAGCATTTTCGTAGCGATCAATATCTTTATATTGTATACCATTTTATTACTATTTTTTTCATTTTTAAATAAAATTAAATTTAATTATTTTATTTTCGATTTTCTTATTCAGAATATCTTCTTTAAATAAAGCTTCTTTTTACTTTTTATAAAATGTGCTTCGGCTTTTTTTAATGTTTTCGTATCCTTTTTTTTTTACTATAGCCGTCACTACTATATCTTTTGTTAAGCACTAATCTTTTATGTATAAAAATAATTTCACAATATTCTATTGAAAGTATAATAAATCAATACAATATAATCAGTAATGTGAATTGAAAATGTGAATGTTTATTGAAAAAAGGGAATAAATCAATGTATAATGCAAAATAAAAAAGAGCTTATAAAAATT